TCAATGTATGAGTGCGCATTAAAATCACTTCTAGTTGGACCATTAGTTTGTCTTATTAAAATGTTAGGGGATGTATCTAACCACTCACAGAGTACTCTACCACTAGCATTAGTTACATTCCCTCCCCATAGAGGGTTTTTTGCATTCAGATCTGCTCCTATTATGGCATGCTTATTACCTATTATGCTGCTTATTTTTAAAAGGTCCTCCATCAGAACATTTTCTTGTGGCCTTTTATATAAAGCCATTACTATTAAGCTGTTGTTTTGTCCTTTAAGCTCAACTACTGTACCCTCAATTTCACCTAAATTAACATTTATTTGTTCCGCCTTGATCCATCTTCTAACCATTATTGCAGTGCCACCACCACGACCATCCACCCTATTTTGCCGAAAGATATTATAATGTTTTTCATGAAAATTATGCCTGGGAGCCAACTTATGTTCAGCAATTAACAAAATGTCAGGATTGTGTTTTTCAATAAATAGATGTAGGTAATGCCTCCTGTGTCTAGACACAATAGAGTTTACATTGATGAATATTACTTTTAGCTTATTCATTGTTTTAATTCAAGTAAGAGATTAAATATAGCTTGGGCTCTTTCTTCATCAGTTTTGAGATTTATTCGATTTTTGGCATAAATATCAATTTTCTTTAATATGGTAAGCATGTCCTTACCTATGTATTTTTTACAATCTTCATTAAATACTTGGAAAGCATTAGATTGCATGTTATTGCTACCATTATTTGATGCGTTATTGTGGGCCTTAGTAACGCTTGAATATGAAATACTGGAATTTACTATCATAGGATTATAATTCTTTTTATTTGTAGGAGTATTTGATATAGATTTTCCTCTAATTTTTTCTAAAATTTTAAGCCTACTAGGGCACTGTTTATAGCTAGCTACATGTCCGTATTCCTTGCAGTTAACGCAATAAACAGGTTTGCCAATTTGTTTAACAACTTTTCCGGTAATTGGATCTGTGATTATTTGTTCGACATTATTTTGCTCTTTAGGTGGTATTTGGCATTCTTTAGGGCCATGTGGTTGGTCACATTTCACGCATCTGTAGGGCATGTTACAGTTTCCTGCAATATGTCCAGCACGCTGACAGTTTCTACATTGTATTAAATCTTCTCTTTTATAGCTTTCTATTGATACTCCACATTGTAAAATAAATTTTTGTCTCATAAATGCTTTTATATCACTATCTCTGGATAGCTGTATTATCCAATTACTTCCTTTAAGTTCTATAATATTTAAAATTTTTATATGTAATTCATTTTCTCTCTCTTTATAGTAGTTTAAAATGTCCTCTTTCTCAAATGCGCCTGTTAATTTTTTAATTAATAATGAAATTGGTTTTTCTTCTTTTGGAGTATATGTAAAAAATGAATAATTGTTTTCAATAAGAAATTCTTTAACTTTTGAATGATCTTCAGATTTAGATAATTTCAAGGAAGTTAAGTTCTTATTTATAACGTTGAAAGTAAACAAGTTATGTCCTAGCAGGTTATTTAATTTGTTTGATATCTCTTTTATATTAACATTATATATTTTGAATATAGGTGGAGGGCTGGTCTTACCTGGTTTGTCTAAAGTATTTATATTTGTTTGAGAATCCTTTTGAGTTTCATCGCTACAGCTAGGCGCCATTTCCACGTTCAAGTTAGATGCATCCATTTTTTCTTCAGTGTTAATGTCGTTTATAACTCGGACGGTAACATTTCTTTTTGGTTTACGTCTGGTATTCGCCATACCGAAGCCTTCGCTCGCTTCAGCAGCCCAGTCAGTGTTTAAATTATTATTCTGTTGAGATGTTTTATTTTTCGTAACATCATTTTCAATGTCTGTGTGTGTTAAATCTTCATTTACATGTTTATTATTAGGTTGATCAGTAATTTCATTGTTTTTCAGTTTTTTAATTTCATTTTCCAATTCCTTTATTTTTATTTTCATGCTTTCGCGATCCTTCATAACTTCATTTAAAATGGAATGTAGTTTTTGATTACGTTCATTTTCACTTTCAAGGTCTTTCTTTAATTTAAAAATTTGTTCTTCATCTGTATCACTAGAGATATTTTTTCCTTTTTTACGCTTTCTATGCTTTCCTTTAACTTCACTTGTGCTTTCGGTATTAGTACTACCTTGGTCAGAAAAAACTTCACCAGGATCCATTTTTAGGCAGTTCTTTTTAATGTTTTTGGGACTCAGGCAACTTTGCCTTACCCCTTTTAGAAGTGTAAGTTCACTTAGATTTGTTTCTTTTAGTTCACTCACTTTGAGAACACTGAATAAAAGCTTTTAATTTACCCTTCACTGCACTTTTAATTAGTCACTTTTTAAATAGCTATCACGATGTGCACTGTTTCACTGCTCGCGGCAAAGTCCTCGTTTTTTTCCGGTGTTTTTTTTTTTTTTCCGGCGATTCCGCTCGTATTTATACAAAATTTGAGGCTCTCTCCAACCATTTAACGCACAAGTAAAGTATGTACAGTTATATGTGTGTGTGTACATTTGCCGTTAGTATTGTATGTTCTCTCTTGTGTGTGCGTGTACATTTGGTATACGGATAGGTAAGAATTCACTAACATATCAACCCCGAAAGTTGATGCTAACAGCACAATTTTCTATAAATACTCGTTTTCGTGGCGATGGCAACGTTATTACAGTGTCTACCGTGTTTGTGTGCATATCTCTAGTGAAGTGAAAAAAATTCAAGTGAAAAATGGCTCGTACTAAGCAAACTGCCCGTAAATCGACCGGTGGAAAGGCTCCCCGTAAACAACTAGCTACCAAAGCTGCCCGTAAGAGTGCCCCAGCCACCGGCGGTGTTAAGAAGCCTCATCGTTTCCGTCCTGGTACAGTTGCTTTGCGTGAAATCCGTCGTTACCAGAAGAGTACTGAATTGTTGATCCGCAAATTGCCCTTCCAACGTTTGGTTCGTGAAATCGCTCAAGATTTCAAAACTGACTTGCGTTTCCAGAGCTCTGCTGTTATGGCCTTGCAAGAAGCCAGTGAAGCCTACTTGGTTGGTCTTTTCGAAGATACTAACTTGTGCGCCATCCATGCTAAGCGTGTCACCATCATGCCTAAGGATATCCAATTGGCCAGACGTATTCGTGGAGAACGTGCTTAAATTCTTGACGTTTTAAAAGCAACAATTTTACAACAAAACAATCGGTCCTTTTCAGGACCACAAATATTTTACAAAAAAGAGATATTTTTACTCAATCTACAATTTTTAGTATTTTTTTGAAATAAATAAAAATAATTTAGGGCTATGATTATTTTTCAACAATTAACATTTTTTATAATAAAGATATATTTTTTGATGTTGTTTTTTTTTTTTCGTTGATGATTTTTCGACACTTTATTTTTTTATTTAATTTTTTTATTTTATTTTGATCGAATATTTTATTTTTTGAATTTTATTTGAATTTTTTGAATTATCCATTTTGATATTTTCCTTTAATTTGCAAAATTATTATCATTTTTGTACTCCCTCTTCGAAAAAAAATGCAATGACTCATAAAAACAACCACCACATACATTTTGCTAACGGGATTTTTTTTGTCCATTTTGTTTTTTTCCTTTTCCCGTTAAACAAAAAATTGCTCTCTTTATGATTTTTGGCGCGACATTTGTCTATTTCTCTCATTTTATTCCCCTTCGATCATTTTTTTCTGTTGTGGACTATTCAATTTAACGGGAAAAATTCTCTGCCTTCAATTTCTACGAATTATTTCATGTGAATTTTAAAAATTTCCAGCTAAAATGTTGCCCTCCTATTTAATTTTTTTCAGGAATGATGTATGAAATATGTTTTTTTCATTTTCAGCAAAATTTTGAATTGTTTTATACGCATTTTAAGACATTTAAATATGAATTTTCTCCATATGGAATTACAAAATTATTTATGCCCGATGTATTTAGAGAAATTGGTAATAATTTATTATTTTCAAAAATTGAAGAAGAAAATAATTGATTTGTTCAGAATTTTGATGTAAAATATAATTAAAAGTATTATAAAAAGGAATTCCAATAATATCTACCTTTGAAGTTGATCGAAAATCATTTTTGTAAAACGCAATTAATTTCATGACATTTCTAAGTGTTCTAGTTGATATTTGCCTGTAAAGAGGAATTTCTTTTTGGGAATATTTTTTTATAAAATTAACAAAAAATTGACAAAATAACGTAGAAAATGGCTTTTAATACTATTTTTTATAAATTATAGAACAAATTATGTTAAAATTCACAAAAAATATTGCAAAATGAAAATACATAACCGTTTGTCAGTGAATGCCTGTACATTGGTAGTATGAAGTATTCTGGGGATTTTGTAACTTTTCCCCGTAAATTATGACTTTTTGTGAATAATGTTATATTTTGATGTAAATATACAAATTCTGAAATGTTTTTTAAGAAATTTTTATAAAACTTATTAAGATTTGAGCTTTCAAATTTATTTCAAGAAAAACTTTTCTTCATTGAAATTATGCCAACAAGAGGATTTCTGCTGTCATAGACCACATAATAATTTCAATTTTTTCACATAGTAAAATATGAAATTGCATCAATATTTTTCTTTGATCCTAAAGTAAACATATCAGGCTACATTTTCAAAAAGAATTTTCAATTAAATTTTCGTAAAAAATTTGATTTTTTTAAATTTTAGTTGGAAATTTGTGATTACATTTTTATAATCTGCCAAGTTAAACGTTTATAATTCACAAACGGCAAGTGATAATTACACCAAACTTTCTTTAAAACATAGCCTGAAATCTATACTTTAAAGGTATAAAACATTTTTAGTGAAAATTATCAAAGCTTCTTCAGGAAAATTTAATTTCTCCGAAAACTTTTGTAAAAAATTAAACACGCTTCCACACAATCTTTCGAAAAATTTACCAATTGACTACTATGCACATCTCATCTTTTCGATGTACCTACACTTTAGCTCGCCGCTAACAAAAATAATAGTACACATAAATTTGTGAGTGTATTTGTGTTAACAGTGAAATATAAACCAAACAGTGAATAACCATGTCTGACGCCGCCGTTGTTGAAGCCACCGCCTCCCCAGTTGCCGCTGTTGAGAAAAAGGCACCAAAAAAAGCCGCTGCCAAAGCAAAGAAGCCATCAGCTGCCCCTACCCACCCTCCAACCCAGCAAATGGTTGATGCCGCCATCAAGACCCTGAAGGAACGTGGAGGTTCATCATTGCCCGCCATCAAGAAATACTTGGCCAGCACCTACAAAGTAGATGCCCAAAAATTGGCCCCCTTCATCAAGAAGTACTTGAAAGGTGCCGTTGCCAGTGGAAAATTGATCCAAACTAAAGGTAAGGGTGCTTCTGGTTCATTCAAATTGTCTGCTTCGGCCTCTAAGGAACCCAAAGCTAAGACTGCTGAAAAGAAGAAGAAGGCCCCAGCCGCTGGTGACAAAAAGAAGAAGGCTGCCGCCCCTAAAAAGGCCGCTGGTGAGAAGAAGGCAGCTGCCAAAAAACCCTCTGCCGCCAAGAAGACCGCTGAAAAGAAGAAGGCCGACAAAACAAAGGCAAAGGCTGCCAAGAAAACCGGTACAGTTAAAGCTAAACCAGCAAAGACCGCCGCCAAAGCATCTGCCACTAAACCAAAGGCACCCAAGGCAAAAACTGCAGCTGCTAAGCCCAAAAAGGCCGCAGCAGCAAAGAAGCCAGCTGCTAAGAAAACCGCCGCCAAGAAGTAATTTTTCCCAGAAAGATTACTTTTTCCACAATATTTTCGATATTCGAAAACATACTATCTAACAGCCCTTTTCAGGGCTACAAATTAAATTAAAAAAGAGAAAAATATTTATTTTCAACAGTTATCGTATATATTTGTTACCTAAAAAAAAATTGTACACGTGTTTGAAAAAATTACTTTCGCTAATTACTGTTCTTATTAGGTAATTTTATTGAGCCAATATAATCGTGGACGCCACTGGATTATTTTTTAACCCAGGTCATAAAAGATAATAAAATATTTAAAATTTTTCCTAATTACCCACAGGTCATAATTCTCGAAAATCCCCATAATTTGGTCAATTTTATAATTTCTACTTAATTTTGAAAAATTTGTCATTTTCATATTCTCTGTTAAATTTCATGAATTTCATCCAAAAATGACATTTTGGCAAAATATTTACATTTTCCATCAATACATTTTTTCCATTGAACATTTCTGCCTCAGCCTTATATTTCGTTGCTTTGCCGTTGTGCTGTATCAAAATGCTCACACATACATGATGCCCATTCGATGTTGATCAACGACGGCAAGGCAAATCACCACTAACACACGCACACATATACGACGACGATGGCTGTTTTAGCATATCGCACAAGCAAGCAAGCAAAGGTTAAACATAGGCACATATGCGAGTTAGCTAAATGTATGGAAAAATCATTGTATAGAGAAAAATATATTTCCTATGGAATTTTATTCGTTTATTACTAAATAATGATAAATTGTAGTTTCAACAAAAATATGATCTCTTTTGAAATGTTTTTTGTGGCCCTGAAAAGGGCCTTTTAAGGTAGTATTTCGACGCATGAAAATGAAAAATATCAAGACATTTACTTGGAGCTGGTGTATTTAGTAACAGCCTTGGTACCTTCACTGACGGCGTGCTTAGCCAATTCACCGGGCAACAATAGACGGACGGCGGTCTGGATTTCCCGACTGGTGATGGTCGAGCGCTTGTTGTAGTGGGCCAAACGAGAGGCTTCGGCGGCAATACGTTCGAAGATATCGTTGACGAAACTGTTCATGATGCTCATGGCCTTGGAGGAGATACCGGTGTCGGGATGGACTTGCTTCAACACTTTGTAAATGTAGATAGCGTAACTCTCCTTACGCTTGGTACGTCTCTTCGACTTATCGCCCTTGGTAATGTTCTTTTGGGCTTTGCCGGCCTTCTTTGCTGCTTTACCACTGGTTTTAGGAGGCATTTTCACTTATTATTTTTTTTTTGAATCACACAAACACTTTTAACACTGTTCACAAATGATAACCAAAACGGCCAGCTATACAGAATTTGTAGATTGTAGTCGACAAGAATTTCAGGTAGTCACAGCTAGTAGGCACACACAAGGCAAACCACCCCATTATTGAAGTAATGTGTGTGTGAGAAAAGTATAAATAGCACGTTTCGGGGCGAAAATTTTTATCATTTGTGTTTTTCAGTGCTTAAGTGAAGTGTTTAAAACTAAAATAAAGTGAAAATGTCTGGTCGTGGTAAAGGTGGCAAAGTTAAGGGAAAGGCAAAGTCCCGTTCCAATCGTGCTGGTCTTCAATTCCCCGTCGGTCGTATCCATCGTCTGTTGCGCAAAGGCAACTATGCTGAGCGTGTTGGTGCCGGTGCTCCCGTCTATTTAGCCGCTGTCATGGAATATTTGGCTGCTGAAGTCTTGGAATTGGCTGGCAATGCTGCCCGTGACAACAAGAAGACTCGTATCATTCCCCGTCACTTGCAATTGGCCATCCGTAACGACGAAGAATTGAACAAATTGCTGTCTGGCGTTACCATTGCCCAAGGTGGTGTATTGCCAAACATCCAAGCTGTTCTCTTGCCCAAGAAGACCGAAAAGAAAGCCTAAATTATCTCGAAAGGTATTATGGAATGAAGAAGAAGAATACAGACCATCGTATGATTCCATAGAAAAATCAACCAATCCGTCCTTTTCAGGACGACAAAAAATATTTGAAAAGAGAAAGAAAATTGCGTCAAGCTACATTTGTATGAAAAAATAAAAATTCTCAATAATGAGAGACGTTGGCAGAATAACTGTTTTTCGTTGTCAGTTGCATATTTGTGTTGTCGTTGTTGTTGTCTCTTATGATTTCAGGAATAGAGCGAGCGAGAGAGGAGAGATCGTGGCGTCACCAAATGAGTATGTATAACATGAAGAAGAAGCATGTGGCAGTTGGTGGTGGCTTCGCAGTAATTTTATGTGAAAAAATCGTACCCCGGCGCATTCTTTGGGGAAAAGGCATAAAGTAGATGATTTGCAAGGGAATTTTGGCGGCAAAGTAGTGTTTTGGTGGAAATAAATCGACGCATACATGAAAATAAAAGCGCATTGTGGTGCTATGGAAAATTTTAAACACAAAAAATAGAACAAAAGTAACATAGTAAAATGAAAATTAATGAAAATAATTACAAAGAAAAATAAAATAACGTAAATTAATAATTAAATTAAAATAAAATAAGAAAATTTTTAAAAATTAAGGCAAATATTAATGAAAATTTAAGCAAATTTTAATGAAAATATTTAAAGATAAATTAAAGAATTTTTGAATAATAAATACATTTTATGAAAATAAAAGATACTTTAAATGAAATCACAAATTTTTAAATTAATAATAAGGAAATAAATAAAATAATTTTAAATTAATAATAAGGAAATAAATAAAATAATTTTAAATAAAACGAAAATGTGATTTAAAAAAAAAATCTAATGAAAAATTAAATAGAAATTAATTGAAAATTAAATAAGAAAATTGAACATAAATAAAATAAAATTCATTTAATGAAGAATTTTTAAATAAAATTCAACGATTTTAATTTTCGATACAATTTTAAAGGAAATGATTAGTGAATAATTTGCAAATTTTTAATGAAATTTTTTAAAATAATATGAATCAACGATCTATTTAATAAATATTTTCAACAATTTCAAATTAAATTTTGAGAAAGATTCAACAATGTTTGAAAAAGTCAAAATGAAATTCCTTTGCTACCACAGCATGGTTGTTCTTTAGTAATATCAACTAAATAATACCAATACATACATAAAGCGACGCTATGTTATACTCATATTATACGAAAAGGAAGAAGAAGAATAACTAAATGTGTTTAGCGATGTGAGTTGCCGACGGCATGTTTATGATCGGGAATAAAATACGAGACATCGGTAAAACAAGGTTTTCGGTGAAAATATTCTGGAGAAAATTGAAACGAGTAAGTATTTATATTTTTTCTTTATTTGATTTTTAGACATTTTTCATGAATTGTGAGAAAAAAATACGAGAAAGCTGAAAAAGAAAATTATTAGAAATTTTAAAATAAAATTCCTATATTTCCTAAGGTAAGTGTTTATTTTTTATTTATTTTAATTTAAAAAATAGTTTTCAACAAGAAAGTATCTCTTTTTTGATATATTTTGTGGTCCTGAAAAGGACCGATTGTTTTGTTGTAAAAAAAGATTTCTCCAAATTGCGTCAAGAATTTGTTTAACCGCCGAAACCGTACAAGGTACGGCCTTGTCTCTTCAAAGCATATACGACATCCATAGCGGTGACGGTTTTACGCTTAGCATGTTCGGTGTAGGTGACAGCATCACGAATAACGTTTTCCAAGAACACCTTCAGAACACCACGAGTTTCTTCGTAAATCAGGCCAGAGATACGTTTTACACCGCCACGACGAGCCAAACGTCTAATAGCTGGCTTGGTAATACCTTGGATGTTATCACGGAGCACTTTCCTGTGACGTTTAGCGCCACCTTTTCCCAAGCCTTTACCACCTTTACCACGACCAGTCATTTTTTCACTTTAGTTTATTTCACTTATCACTTCACTCGTTTCGTTTTTTCGTTTTTGCCTATGGCCATATTTATTTGGTAGATAATCTTACAAACTAACAGGAATGGCTTACTGTGCTAGAAACCTAATTATATATAGCTATTCGCTATCTACTACTATTTACATAAAAATACGCTATGCTCCTGGCAGTTAGCATCTAATTACATTAAATGAAAAAGAAAAAACTTAAAAACATAAGTGCCCCAAAAAATCCAAAAATTAAAAATGGGCGAAATCAACTAATACATAACTTAAAAATAATATATATATATATAACTTAAAACTAAAACTTAAATGTAAGACTTAAGACTAATTTCTACTCACTACTATATACACTATATACAATTACTGTGTACTACTGTACACCGTATTCTCCATATCAAGGGTGTTGTAACGTCGATGGTAAAAACGAAGCTCACCATCGACGAACAACAGCCCTTCCTCATTCAGCCTTTTCAAGGCACCCGGGGGCAGGTACCATACATTCCTCAGTGCATCCGCGTCCAGGGTGCATCGCAGAGCGTTCTCCACCATCCTGTTGTTCAGTCCGTCAGTCTTGTCTAAGAATTCCAGTGCTCCTGTGACCAGGACCCTGTCAATTCTTTCCCCACCTGCCCTGTCATATATGGCCCTATTAGAGGTCCTTCTGACAGTACCATCCTGGCTAAATGTTAGTCCTCTCATGCCTAAACATGAAGCCAGTACACTACGCTCCCACTTCCTAAGCCTTTCCATCTGGCTGGACGATATGCCAAACCAGACAGGAAAAGCGTAGGCAACAATAGGTCGCATTATTTGCCGATATAACAGCAACTTAACTTCAGGGGTTAGGCCACCCCGCATCTTCATCAGCCCTTTATAGCTGAAGAAGACCTTCCTCGCTCTGTCCAGGATAAAACTTATGTGTCCATTGAAATCAAAATTCTTTTGAAAAATGACCCCAAGGTATTTTATCCTGTCCTTTATTTCCACAGTATGAGGTCCAACTTTTACGACCGGATGGTACATTGTAAAATTTGGACGAACATATTGAGTTTTCCCGGTAAATACAATTGCCGAACATTTGTCCCCATTTAGCTTGAGGCCCCATATGGTAAAGAACCTATATAAGACCTCAAGATAAATGTTCAGACGTGCTTCCGCTATACGAAGTAGTGGGGCCGTATACGCCACAAGCACATCATCGGCATACGATAATGCTAACCCTCCACGTGGAGGTGCAGGCATGTCACTGACATAGATGTTAAACAACATCGGCCCTAGGAGGGAGCCCTGGGGTACGCCAGTCAATACAGGTCTGCGACTAGATAGTCGCTCACCTACCCTAACTCTGAAATACCTATCAGA